TATATATATATAATTTTATATAATTTCGCTGCCAATTTTGCGAAAATCGTGAAAAATTCTTATTTCTCCTTGCCAGCGCCATATAGTGGCTAATACATTACATAAAACCGTGATATCCGCCTTACATGCATAAAGATAAACGGTGGCGTAATCACGCACCGTGAAGGGAAAAATAAGCCTGTGACATCTACTGTCCACATCTTTCAGCGCCTCAAGTAGTCCCGAAGTCCAAGATGATACAGTCATTGACATTCGTGTAAACACATTTCTAAGCCGTTTACACGCCGAGATTGGAACGATTGTATATTTTTCATGCCAGAGTCTTCCTTCTGCTTAATCTTCGTATCGTATCACCCCTGACCGCGTCTCTGTGGCAGATAGATGCACAAGGTCAAGAGCACATCAATCTTGACACTTAAGATTTAAATCCAACTCTATGCCGCTTACGATAAGAACGGCCCAAAGTATAAAGTGTCAAGTCTGATGTGCTCTTGACTGTACCTATAATACTTCTAGGCCCTGGCACCAAATAAGGCGAGAGCTAAAATGGAAAGAATTTATATTAAAAAGTATTACGCTTTAAAATGAATACTATAAATTACACAAATTATGTAAAATGTTTGAGCGAAACTAAGGCCTTCGTCTCGCGCATATTATAAGCGGGTACGTAGCGTCCAGAAGAAGCATTCGTTGCGCGGGCGTCAGTCAGAGGACGCATTGAGTGACTGAAATACTGAATTTCAATCTTTCAGTCAGTATTAAACATGGAGTTGGACGAGGCGGTCGAGTTGTGTAGAAAAAATGAAAACGAATGGAAAGCAGAATGTACTTCTTTAAGATATAAATATACATTGTATAATTGTAACTTTGCATAGTTTTAAAATTATATTAGCGTAAGTACTCAGAAGATTACATACCATCTTTACACGTTTCTATATCAAAATGTTGCCACTCCACAGGTACGTGCATTTTGCAGCGTTGGTCACTGATCAGTCTATGGGCTTAAACGTTTGTCTAAAAGACTTTAAGCGTCAAACTAAAAAGCGTTTTAGTGACGATATTCTCACAGGACATTGGCGAAATCGCCATTTTTTTGTATAATTTTTATAATAATATTAAACTACCGTACATAGTTATTTCTACTTGACATTGGCAAAATCATTGATTATTTCGATGGAGCCATAACATTTAAGAGAAGAAGAAGAAGAAAAGCGCTTTTACAAGCACGCTTTTTAAACGTACGTTTTAACGTTAAAAAAATAAACAGTTTTTTCCATTTCAACGGTTAACAACTATACAAGTTAAACAACTTATGTTTTTAAACGCCAATGAAAAATATGTTAATAATAATGTTATGTCATAAACAATAAAACACTCGTTTTTTTAAAAAAAAAAAACTTATCTTTAAACCTTTAGAGGTATACTCTTCCGTTTCGCTATCAACACAACGTTGCAAGCTTTTTTAACATAAAAGTCTATGCGCTTCATATGCGCTTAAACGTTTTCTAAACCATTTTGGTAACTTCAAACTAAAAAGCGTTTAAGTGAAAAGGCGTTTAAAACGCACTCTTTTTTAAAAAGCATAACATTTAAAAAAATATGTAGTTTTCCCATCTCTAGTTATCACGACTCGCGCGAATCACGCGTGTTATTATACGCGCGAGTCGGGAGTCTGGCGTATTGCACGCGATTTACTTGACTTGTGGACGCGATGTATAAGCGTCCAATACCTCGCTGACACGCGTAACGCGAGACGATTCGCGGCAAATTCGCTCCTTCTTAACAAGGTCTAGAACCTTAGACCTTATATTATGATATAAATAATAAACACATTTGATATCTGGGTCACTACATGTGGCATGCAACTAAACAGAAACAAGATGGAGGTTAACAAAAAATAAGAAAAAAATTAAAGAATTTAATTTAAATAAAGGTGTAATTAATAAATAGGTACAAAGAACACATAAAATTACTACTGAGGCCAAGGCTCTAGCGCCAAAGCTACAGTTCGACTTAGCAGATCTTACGAAATTTCTCGAAGTTGTTTGTTACATACTTAGATTTAGTATAATACATGTATAATACTAAATCTATGGTTACATATCTTTTGTATTGGGTTTTTCGCTTAGAGGATGGCAAAAAATAAAGAATAGTCTAAGCTTAGAATAATAACGCATAGAAACCTAGCCCGCACACGCTAAGTGAGGCAAGTTAGAGGGTTCCAAACGCGTCCCAGGAGCGCGCGGGCTGTTAGTGCTCAAGGTCATATTGCACCGCGAACAGCTCCAAAATTTTTTGCTAAAAATGACGAAATGTGCTGTAAATGGGTGTAAAAATACAACAGACAAACATAAAATAGACACTAACATCGCATTCCACAAGTAAGTAATGCGTTTCAACTCATATTTTTATGTAAATATTCACTAAAACAGAAAAATAATTTCGCGGCAACAAGATACGAAAGTGTTGCAAAGTAACGAATTTTTTTTCTCCCCATTTTGCTATTCTGTATCAAAATAATTATATTACGTAAATTTTAGTGGTGCCTGTAATTTAGATTTATTTGCGCATCTTGAACTAATATTTACTTTAATAAACATTAAATGTTTTCGTTAACTCCTGTAAGTGATTGGGACACTTAATTATTTTATAATACTTTTAACGGCTCTGCGTTCATGCTTTATTGAATAATTATTTATTTTAATTTTATTTGAATTGGAGCACATATTGCAACAAATTTACAGTACTTATATATTTGTTTCTACTATAGTGTTGGCACCACCAGTACAACTTTGATAGCTTATTATTGTCTTTCTTTTCGTAACTCAAGCGAAATATTTTATATTAAAATATTTTATTTTCTTAAAAGGGGAGCATTCTTAAGCGATTTTTTAATCTATTTTAACAGTTATTTTCTTTAATGTTTGCTTATGGCATTTTCGGTTTTAGGTTTCGAATATGGCACTTATTTCTAAATCCAAGATGCCGGCGCGATTTTTCGAATAATGGCAAGTTGGGTATCGTTTTCGAGATGTTTGGGAATGTTCAATACAAATATGGCACTCATTTCTAAATCCAAGATGGCAAACACGACAGTTCAAACAAAAGCAATATTCGTAATGAGCACCCCCAAATACCTCGAAAACGATACCCAACTTGCCATTATTTGAAAAATCGTGCCCGCCATCTTGGATTTACAAATAGTGCCATATTCACATTGAGCATCCCCAAATACCTCGAAAATGATACCCACATAGCATTTTTTTGAAAAAATCGTGCCCGCCATCTTGGATTTAGAAATGAGTGCCACATTCGTAATGAGCACCCCCAAGTACCTCGAAAATGATACCCATATTGCATTTATTTGAAAACTCGTGTCCGCCATCTTGGATTTAGAAATGAGTGCCATATTCGTAATGAGCATCCCCAAATACCTCGAAAATGATACCCATATTGCATTTTTTTGAAAAAATCGTGCCCGCCATCTTGGATTTAGAAATGAGTGCCATATTCGTAATGAGCACCCCCAAGTACCTCGAAAATGATACCCATATTGCATTTTTTTGAAAAATCGTGCCCGCCATCTTGGATGTAGAAATGAGTGCCATATTCGTCATGAGCATCCCCAAGTACCTCGAAAATGATACCCATATTGCATTTATTTCAAAACTCGTGTCCGCCGTCTTGGATTTAGAAATGAGTGCCATATTCGTAATGAGCATCCCCAAATACCTCGAAAAGGATACCCATATAGCATATTTTGAAAAATCGTGTCCGCCATCTTGGATTTACAAATAAGTGCTATATTCGTTTTTCATCGACAAAACCGAGCACATCTGTAGGCACCTGATCGACAATGTCGGGCAAATCTGTAGGCACCTTTAACTTAATGATGAGTTAAGCAAGATACAATTTCCCCACTTTTGAGGGAAATGTTATTCCATGGCATCATTATTTGTATATTTGTGTGCGTGCCGACGAGCGTAGTTACAAGTTCCTTACGCCTACATGAATTTGGTTTTTGCCTCACTTGTGACAGTTCGTTTGATATGAAACTATCATTCTATGCGTTATTATTCTAAGAGTCTAAGGTTCTTCGGCTTTTATCGCCATAAACGACACCTGTCAAAATTCTATTAAGCTGTGATATACAAATCTCTTTCATAGTTGAAGTCTGCTTGTCAGTACCAAAGAATGTATTAAATATTGTATCTCAAATTTTAAATCTCTTGGTTTTTGTCTTTCATGTATCAATTAATCTTACTTTTATTTAAACAATATGTCGAGAAAAGAAATTGAGAAAAATACGCCATCGACCCTAAAACCGGTCACTACAAGTCTTATACGCTACTTACGCCCGGAAAGATTCGAACAAGATCTAAGCTGCATTAATGCGGAGATTGAATGGGCACATTGGAAGTACACTTTTGATAATTTCTTATCAGAAGGTTCCCGTAAGTTGACAGAAAAACAAAAATTGAAAATGTTGATTTGTCGCCTAGCGTATTTTCAAATATACGCCAATGTAGACTTCGAAACGGCCATTACAATTTTAAATGATGTTTATATTAAACGCAAAAACGAAATACACGCGCGTCACATTCTTAATACTCGGAAACAACACAATGAGGAAAGCGTACATCAGTATATGAGACAACTTAAACTTCTCGTACATAATTGCACCTTTAAAGACGGCTGAAGGCTGAAGAATACCGATCCGAATACATCAGGGACGCATTTATCGCCGGCATCTCGTCCCCTAAGATAAGAGAACGTTTATTAGAAAACTTCGAGCTTTCTTTCTATCACGTTTTCAATCAAGATATGGCAGAAACAAACTCTCAATCACAATAATAATTTCCTAACACTTAACGCTGCTGATTCTATCTCTCCTTGACGATCTTCACAAAATAGCTATCCTCCTAGTACATCTACCGAGCGAGATGACATCGAAGAACCTGGACTAGCTGCTGAGTCTAATAAAAGGAGATGCTTTATTTTGCGGCAGTAATGTGATACATCAACGAATTAAATTACATAGTAAGTAACAAACAAAAGTAAACCTTACATAGTAAGTGTCAATAATGTTCCAAGAAGGGATATTTCGCAATTGTTTGTCGAAGCAAACAAACTATGAATGCTGTCTTAGCATATAATGAAAATACTGATAATTCTTCGGAGGTAGCTGCAATATCAGCGGCTTCCCCATCCAGCTTGCATAATGCAACCATACCGGTCACCGTAAACAACTATTGTGCGGAGGCACTTATTGATACCGGAAGCTCTACCAGTTTTATCAATGAAGAATTAGCTTGATTACTGAAATTGAAAAGAAAATTTTGTCAACAAACGATCACTCTCGCCTTATTAAATTACACGTCATCTGTTAACAGTTCCTGTAATGCTACAACACAGCTGCAAAAACATGTCAATGAAAATGTTCAACTATTACTTGTACGCGACTTGTGCGCTGACATTGTCTTAGGCCATGATATATTGAAAAGTCATCATTCGTTGGAATTCCAGTTTGGAGGTTCTAAAGAACCATTGAAGATATGTAATGTCATGGCTGCAAATTTGCCTAATGCTTCATTATTTTCTAACTTAACGCCTAATAGTATAGACCCATTGCTATAAAATCTAGTCGATATAGTCAAAATGAGGAACAATTTATCAAAGAAGAAATTGAAAATTTGTTAAAGGATGGGGTAATAGAACCCTGCATGTCACCTTGGAGGGCACAAGTTTTAGTGACTGGTGGAGACTCTCACCGTAAACGCCTTCTTATCGATTATTCTCGTACCATCAACAAATTTACTGAACTTGACGCAAATCCACTGCCCAATATAATATAGAAACTCTCGTGACAAAAATCGCCCAAAACAAACATTTTAGCCTAATAGACCTCAAGAGTGCTTATCATCAAATACCTATCAAGAAAAAGGAAAGACCCTTCACGGCATTTGAAGCATGCGGAAATTTATATCAATTTACACTGATACCATGCGGAGTTACTAACAGAGTATCCGCTTTTCAAAGAACGATGCTATACATAATCACTACCTTAAGTTTCTCAAAACTTAAGGATACTTATTGCTATCTTAACGACGTTACAGTTTGCGGGAAAGAGAAAAGCGACCATGATGATAGCTTCGGCAGCTAAATACAAGCTTACCCTGAGAAAGGACAAATGTAAATTTTGCTCGGAAACTATTAAAGTACTTGGCTATACGATTGAGAATATAACGTTATAAGACCTGACAAAGATCGCCTCAAGCCTATTTTGTTATTGCCAGTACCTCAGATCCTCACTGAAAAGAGTATTGGGTGTGATTGCTCATTATTCCAAGTGAAGTAATGACTATTCAGAGAAAATAAGTCTCCTCGAGTCGCAATTAACACTTTCGAATCTATTAAGACAGACAGCCAACGCAGCCCTAGCAGCAATTGACCATACGGAAATGTTTACTGTTGAAACAGATGCTTCTGAACACGCTTTGGCTGCAACTCTTTCTGAAAAGAGCCGCCCAGTACCTAGCCTTTTTCACTCGTTGTCTAACTGATTCTGAAAAAGACCTCTCGGCTATAGAAAAAGAAGCATCAACAACCGTTGAAAGCCTACGTAAATGGCGTCACTATCTCATAGGAAAACATTTTCTTTTAGTGACAGATCAACAGTCCGTCTCTTTCGTGTTCAGTCGGAAGCATAGTAGCGAAATAAAAAAATAGAAAATAGAGAGATGGAGACTTGAACTTTCATGTTTCAAATGTGATATTATCTACCGCCCTGGTAAACAAAACGTGGTACCTGATGCCTTATCAAGAGTCTGTGCTAATACATTTTTATGCAAAAAGTTATATGATTTACATAATTCATTATGTCATCCCGGAATCACTGGGATGGCCCATTGGATCCGCTCTAAAAATTTACCTTATTCCCTTGCAGAAATTAGGAATATGACTGCAAGCTGCCCAGTCTGTACGGAAATCAAGTCTAGATTTGCAAATTGTAAAGGAAAACTCATTAAAGCAACAGCTCCATTCGAACGGCTCAGCTAAGATTTCAAATGACCACTTCCTTCCAATACTCAAAATAAGTATATAATATTGACGATAGTAGACGAATTTTCTAGATTCCCATTTGCTTATGCATGCAACGACATATCTACCTGCACTATTATAACTTGTCTGAAAGACCTATTCTTTACATTTGGAGCGCCCCTTTACATCCATTCTGAATCTGACCGTGGATCAGGATTTATGACCCAAGAATTCAAAGAATTAAACATTTATTTATTTCTCAATTTGGTTCAACAATGGTGGATCAGGTTCTCCCATTAAGCAAATATATGCTTGTGATGGGAAAGCCTTGCAACTAAGCTTAAAACTGAGAATTTACAACAAATCAGTGGGTTAGTTTTAAGATAGAATGATATTTAAAATAGAAAAAATAAAAAACCAATTTTCAGTATGTAATGTGTGCATAAACTTGTGTGTATGCGTGCGTGCGTGCGTGCGTGCGTGCGTGCGTGCGTACCTGCGTGCGTGCGTGCGTGCGTAC